TATATATATATATATATATATATATGTATATATGTGTGTGTGTGTGTGAGTGAGAGAGATATAGAGAGAGATATATATATATATGTATGTATATATATATATATATATATATGTATGTATATTTGTTTATGTATATATATATATATATATATATATATATATATATATATACATATACATACATATATATATATAGAGATGAGAGTGTGTGTGTGTGTGTGTGTATATATGTATGTATATATATATATATGTGTGTTAAATATATATATATATATATATATATATATATATATATATATATATATATATATATATATATATATATATATATATAATGTATTTACAGACATTGATGTGTTTACAGTCATTGATAAAAGTAAATAAATAGACTCAATGGTGGGCTAAAAATCTGCAGATTTCTGTGTGCCCAGATTTCCATGTGGGCCTAACTATTATTAAACTAATTTTCCCAAATAGTCTGCAGTGATGTGGTAAAGGCTAGGACATATATGTGGGGAATAGGAAACATTTCTTAGTCCTACTTTTTTTGGTTGTAATAATAAGGAACAGCTACACTTTTAAATATTTCTGTCTTTAATCAGACGAGAATATCCCTATTCAAGAGATAAGAACAACAGATATATATTTAAATATATATATAAAAAAAAAAAAAAAAAAAAAAATATATATATATATATATATATATATATATATATAAATATATATATATTTTTTATTTTATTTTATTATTTTTTTTTTTTACTTGGGAATAAAATCAGCATATTAGATGATTTTGATTTCTGAAGTATCATGCAACACTAAAGACTTGAGTAATGATGATAGTAATAGTCAATAATTAAACCAAAAGAGGTTTTGTTGAAACATACTGAACAAAAAATGATTTAGTTTTAGCACAAACTGCCAAATAAATGCTAATAAGTAAACAAACAAAGACATGAATACATGTTTTCAGTGTATGGTATATAAATGGTTTACTTCACTGAACGCTATAGACTTGTATGCTTGTGTTCAAACATTTCTTGAAAATAAAACATCATTGGAACTCAGTCTTCCTGAAACCATCTACT